TAACTTAACAATTTGAACCAAGTTGTCTGCTCTTTCATTTAACCTCATCTCTGTATATGAGTTTAATCATTAATCTGAATTTATGTGAAAAAAATCGTCTCATAATAATTAAGTTTTTTTATTTTTCTCATCAGTCCGAGTATGGTTGTACTTCGAATTCTTAAATTTCTCTTTTCTTTTAACCTGCTTTCTGTTGTTCTCAGAGTTTGTGATTAACAACCTTTATTTTAATATACTCATTTTGTTTCTCCATATTGTAACACAAAATTAGTATTTTGAATTCATACTAGTTGTTTCCACAGAGAATCTTTCTTGCTATTTTCTTTATTAACAGATACAAAAGTTTTATTATCTTTTCTATGACTGTCTAAAGTCTAATAGATCTCTGTGATTACGGTAAATTGCCATAGCCCGGTGGAGAGAGGAGCAGGGACGCGACACTGCACAGAGGGTTCTGACAAGGTGGAAGGTCAGGGTGCAGTGGCCACTTTATTGAGGGGAACAAGGACTTAAATAGGGTTTAGATGAGGGGAAGTCTGATAACCGGGGTGGAGCATGGGATTAATATCTCAGGGTATCACAGGGTTGGTGAGTGAAAGAAAGGTGGGAGGGACTTGGGAGGAGTTAAACAACAGGGACCAATGGGAGCTCACTCCGCACTGCAGCACTCATCGGCCAGTCAGTGTGGGACGAGCGGGAAAGCAGGGGAGAACAAGGTGGTAAACAATTTTTGGCAGGAAAACCTGAGGGCTAGTCCAGACAAGCCCTAAACAATACAAACCAGGGGGATTAATAGAGATGCATATATATTAGGGCACATAGAACATGGGATGAACTGGGGAATAACACAAAAGTCCATAATTTGTTGTCTTCTCTAAGCTCCATATACGTCTCTCCAAGCTTGGAATCGTTCCCACTCGCTCTGGTGTTCCTCCACATCAAATAATATTTTATTTATCACCGGATAAATACAGATATTTTTATCTTAAGGACTATTTCTTCTGAAAAGGTGTAGAGAAAGATGGGTTTTTTAAAAGCTCAGATTGCATATCTAGGTATGCAGGATTTTTTTTTTTTAATTAGAGTTATTTATTTTTGAACTGTAGAAAGTGGGTCACTTCAATTTCTTGTCTATGGAGAGTCAATAATTTGGAATTTTGTAAGAGTTTTGTCAGTAGTCTTTTCAGAACCTCTCCATTTCTTTATTCAGTATTTTTCAATATTAAACTACAGTAGTTTCTCTGGGAAAAAAAAAAAAACAAAAACAAAAAAAAAAAAAAAAAAAAAAAAAAAAAAAAAAAAAAAAAAAAAAAAAAAAAAAAAAAAAAAAAAAAAAAAAAAAAAAGAGGAGAGGGAACGAGAGGGAAGGAGGCTTGTCTTAATGTTTCAGCATCCTTAATGTCAAGTCTGAACCTCACCTGAACCTTGCCTTCATCTATTCCCCTACATCCTATTACTGGAAACCAGGGAGAAGAGATCATCACCTCATCTGGACTTTCATATACATGATGATCCTCTTTTGGGGTGTTTCAGGTTTTCCAGTAGCATACATTTAGCCATAATGAACTTCCATCATGTTTCTCATATATACGTAGGGATTTTTTGATGAGTCTTTCAGAGATGATTCAAAGGTGTAGGAAGATGAAACATGGACAAGTATTAATTTACAAAATTATTAATAAAAGTGACAAAACTGTACCAGGTAGGAAAATAGTTATTTAGATCTGTTTTGGAATTGCTGTAGTTGATTGCTCTATCAATCTCTTCCTTGTTTTTGTTACTGAATGCTTGTGGTCATTTACAGAATAATGTATCACAATGGCTGATATATTATCGATTTCCTAGAAAGGATTTGTTGTATGGAATTCAGATTTTTTTCCTGGTTTCAGCAATCAAGAATAAATTGCAGTTAGGTACACAGTAACTGTATGAAGAACCTAGACAACTATGCTGCTAAAAACAAACCCCCAGTTTTTTTATTGGAGAAGACTATATTATTTTTGCGTATAATACATATATGTACATATATATTGTAATGTATATTTGCAGATATGTGCACATAATGCATATAATACAAATCACCTGATAAAATATTGACATTTTGGTTTTCTGTGGAGACAAATATCCACTGTGAAAATCTACAGGCTGTCAGTTTTTCAGATATTCTAGTAGTTGTAAAATAAAACTCCTGCACTTTCAGTGCAGAAGAGTGAAAATGGCTATTTCTGTGGTTAAAATAAAATTTTTAACTTTAGAATAAAACTGTAGTTTTTGTGTTAACTACTCTTAAATAAAAAATTTACATTAACATTTTGAATGCTCAGGAGTGTTTTACTGTGTTCCTTCAGAGCTTCATTTGTCTATTCCCCAAGAAACAACAACATAAAGGTGAAAAATAATTACTATTTCTTCATGTTTGGTATTAAAAGAACACAGTATATACATAGTTTACACTGAGGTGTATAGACACTTTGAAAAGGAGAGAAAAGACAAATAATAGGTATTAAGCAAAATCACATTTCCTGTAAAAGAATGAGCAATGTAAGATACATAGACTGAAGACTGAATCAGAAATTGTTTGGATCTTATTTAAATAACAGAATTAAAGGTTAACCAGTGGCAGCAAAAAGTCTGACTGTACTGCCAAAGTGTAGAGTAAAACAATGATGTGATTGTGCACCTTTGCTGAAATTAGTCGAAAGAGCAGACACATGAAAAATAAATCAAAGAACAACTCTAAAACTGGAACAAAGGAATGAGATTCAGAAACTATTTTTGAGTATAATAATGCTTAAAACAAAAAGTGTCTGTTCAGACCTAAATTGATCATGTATTTATTTTGTCCACATTTTCCTTTTGTAACGTTCATTAAGTTGTTGTCCTTTGTATATAACTGTACACAGAATTACAAGAAGGAAAACATCTGTCATTTCAAAACATTAAAAGGCTTTACTCCATTTGTTCAAAAACTATATGGACAAAGCCCCTAAATGATAAAGCTCCTAATGATAAGAGGTATAAGGAAATGTTATCTTCTTCAAGACAGTATACTTTCTATTGGATTTCAAAAAGAATGCTAGTTGATTTCTTTTTAGCTGGAAGCTGAGGACAGTTGTGAAACTGAATAGATTTCAGCAAACTTCAAGTAACCCTCAAAAGTGTTTTCAGCCATGCTTTTTCATTTTGAAATCAAGTTGGAAAAATTGACTTATGTTTAATATAATTCCATATTTCTTGCATTGTATAATTTTATGTTTTTCCTACTGAGTCAGCGTAGTGATTTAAAGATAATCCAGACTTGTGATGGAGATTAATTTGTGGTTTTAATGCTGAGCAGGTCTTCAGCCATGAAGTAAAATGAAACAATCTTAAGAAAAGGAATAATTTATGCCCTATATCAGTAGCAAATCGTAAGATATACTTTTCCTAATCATTAAATGCAGGGTTGAAGTGAAGAAACTTTATCTCTTTGCCGAATATAAAGTTAGGTGTAGCAGAAGTTAAAATCATACTTAGAAAAATATCTTTCCTGTAACACACTTGGGATATAATACATTACTCATATCTGTGAGGTGGAGAGAAAAAAAAGAAGCTGTTTTTAATCAGTTTATTATTATACAAACTAATATGTTTAAATCAACACAGCACAGGGATGTTCTCCAGAAATTGCCAGTTCATTTAAGCTATAGTGATAGTTGTGATTCGCATAAGAAAGGTCACTTTCTCCTCCTCTTGTGAGCACCAATAGGCTAGACAAATATGAGAGGGGAACAAAGAATAGGCACTGCTTTCCCATTGTATTTCACTTAGCTATAGCTACAATCAGCTGCAGCTCCTGAACTTTTCTCTGCCAAATGAAATTAGGCAAGATTTTGAATTCTGAATAATTTCCAACTTGATGATGATCAGTGGAAAATACCCAGGTTAAAAATGGGTGCTTCTCAAAGTATCTATTGCTGAAAAAGAGTATTTGGCCAGCCTTATGCAAATTTCTGCTGCTTATCTGCTCTAGTCATTTCTAAGCATATATTCAGCAAAATCTCTAGACACCTCTTGTTTCAGTTTGTCTTTGTATCCCAAATGACAAAAAAAAGTAGCATGCACAAAGCTATGAGGAGGCACCTATATAAGGATCATCTTCCATCTTTTTCTTTCTTTGCTACACATAACATTTTCTGGTTTTGCTATTGCAAATTTCTAAGAGTGAACATCAAGGTTTGAAGACTTGCACAGAATCAAACTCTTCTTTCAGCAATAGCAGATACTAAAACTCTGAAGAACTTTCTCACAGTCCATTTTAAATTTTATAATAATTCATAACTGAAAATGAGACTTGAAAATGTGTTTGAATTATCAGATACTGAATAAACACCTTATACTTCCAATGTTGTCAAGCATAAAGCAAGGAGGAAGACTTTCATCCTTAAATAAAATTTGAAAACTACAGTCAAATTATTTTATACTAGCTCTGAGACAAAGCTTACAATAAGACCTAATATTTTAAAAGACTGAATGTGTATTGAAAAAGAGAGGAAATATAGTAAATCTCAATAATCTTCACATGCCTTTTTCCTAATGGAAGGATAATTCTCATTTACAAACTCTGCTGAGAAAGGAGAAAAAATACCCAGCCAAGCAGATTCTTAAATAGCTCCCAAAAGATTTCACTGTCTCTTATAAGAATTACTCAGCAAGAACAGTACATTTTCGAAGAGTTTTCATGCTATTTTTGATATCTTAATACAGTCTCTTAATCTTCAGAATGCTCTTTGTTCACAAATTATTTTATAGTAAACTGAAATAGAAGTCACAATAAACTGATTTCTCCCCAAGACGCAGATTATGTCTTCACAAATTATCCAGTGAAAGGATTTTTCCCAAATTCTTGGATTATCTTTTACAGGAGTTAGACAAATTTAATTTCAGGGGCAATAAATCCCACCTTATGCATTCTATACCTATTAACTTTTTTTTGATGTCATAGGTCTGGAGCAAAGCCCCAACACCAAGCCCAGACTGAAATTCTTCACTTCACTGAGGGATCAAAACATCACATCTATCTCTAAAGGGCTGATTTACTGACATAATGAGTGCAATGGAGATTAGGTATGTATGGTGTGGGTGCTCTAAAACTGTGTGAAAAATCTAATTCAGTAATAACACAGTCCCTGCTGACAACGTCTGTTGAGAGACCTGTTAAAAATATTTTAGATTTAAAATGTCCATGTCTAGACATCTACATTCTTATGAAATTTGCCTTGCATGTATCTGCATATAATTAAAATTTGGACTTAAATGAAATTACCTAAAAGTAACCAGCAGCTTTTAAATTATAAATGCATGGTCAGTAATTTTGAATGTTAGCTCACCGTCTGTGGGGACAGGGGTAGTAGAAGTCAATGTTTCCTTACTCTGCATCATCCTCTTATTACACCTACATCATTTAACCTCCTCTTATAAACAGATTCAAAGAATTCCTGGATCACATTTTTCTCCCTTGGTTGCAACATATACAGTCTAGAAGTATGCTTAATTTGGAGTCTGTACGCATCACATGATGTGGTGAGTTTTGTTAAATGTTTAAATAATAATGAATTGCTAGATTGATGTTTTCATGAGTTAGAGATGGGATATATAGATGATATTCAATTCTGCTAATCTATATTTCAGATGTGTTTTCAATAAAATAAATTCATTCCATCATTATAGAGCATGGTTAGTCATATGGATTATATGCTCAACCTTTCAGAATGGCAGTTGCCTTTCATGATCTCTGGGAAAGCAACACTTGTGTTGGGTGCGTTATTTTCACAAAATGTTCTTTAAGCACAACCTTGAAGCCTAAAGAGAAAGGAGACTCTTTAATGACTTATTTATTCTGTATCCATAAAAGTAAATATTTAAATGTAGCATTTTGTTTCTAAGAAATGGATGAGACTTACAGCATCTGAGTGTCTAAAACATTTCTTTAGAATATAGCTTATATATGGTCCATGAAATTATTTGCAGTCTACCAAGAATAAGGAATAACACTTTTCTTGATGAGAAAAAAAAGAGATAATGTTTTTGCTTTTTTTCAATCAAAGATAAATTCAGATAAGCAATTTTAGAAATATCCTCAAGGAGTTTCTGATTAAGGATTAAATAAGTAAATCTTATCTACTGCTATTTTCTTCCTTCTCTGTTTCACTCCATTTGCAGGTATTGACAATCAGAAACAGTGAATCAAAATGGTAAACACTGAACTCTTGGACTGTCTTCTGAAATCACCAGTTGTTGTCTTGGTGGATTTTTGTTGCTGACTTGTCCTCTATAAATTGGGTAAAGGCCTTCAACCTGCTTCAAATTTGTACCAAGCAGTTAAGATGGTAACAAAGATGCTATTGAGATGGTAGTGAATTGCTGTCAGTACATCACGTATCATACTCAAGTCAAAGCTTGGCTGTTTCTAGTCTTCAGCTGCACAGCCACTCGATGATCAAAGCAAAATGTTTCCTTTCATTTATTCATGCCTTTTTTAAATAATTCAATGAAAATGACACTTTGTATTTGTTTTGTCTAGCCAATAAATCCATGCTTTACAAAAAAGGAGAAGCAATCTGTGTTTATTCTTAAATAGAGAGGAATCTGTGAAGTATTTTACATTTTTACAGTCCCAGAAGTGAATGATAAATTAAAAGAAATAAATTATTCATAATTGTAGCAGACTTAAAAATGAAGGCTTATAACTAGAAGGTCCTGTTCCAACAAGGACGTAACTACTGCATAAGTAGTTTCACTGAAGTCAGGAAAACAAGCCCATGTTTAAGTGTGTTTCTGGATAAAAGCCAAAATTAAGAAGAGAGCAAAATTAGAGAATTACAAACTACTTAATGCAAAGTGTGAAAGAAAGCACTGACTATATAATCGGGGAAAATAACTGATTGATGTGATGGTAATAAATGTATTCATGAGACATCATGATTTCTTAAGGAGCAAAAAGTATCATGATAAAAGCATGGAAAACTAGGGCTTTAATCCAAGCATGGGAAATATTGAGATGGACAAAATCCTTTTTCCCTTTTTAATGAACTGAATGTTCTAATGCCTGCTTACAGATAGTAGGTTATAAAGTTAAAAATTATCAGTACTGAAATAAATGCTCAAAACTGTCCAGTAATGACGTGGTAATGTGCCAGAGAAATATAAATGAAACTAAATTAACTGTCATTTCTGTGACTCTGAAAAATTACGAGTAATATAGGTACCAGGATAAGCCAAGATAAGATCCTTACAAAGGTGTGGTCCCCTGACAACATTTAGGTACACAGGTGATACCAGTTCTTGCTTTGAAAGCAAAATCTGTGCTCCAGCATAGGGAGAGATTTGAGACAAATTTTCAGTCCTTTTGTACTAGTTAACTGCTATAATCCTCCTGGTACCAGGATGATATAACAGACAATTCTAGAAGGAAAAGCCTGATTCTGTGGGCATGCAGTCATTTCACAATCAACAATTAATTGTCTGCTTTTGTCTTCTACTCTTGCAAGGGTGTCAAGAAACCTTTTATTCAGTTGAAAACATCTCCAGGGACCTTTTGTAGATCTTTCTTATGGAACTGTTGGATTTTTTTTTTTTTTACTACACCGTATAAGCAAATTCTGGATTTCAGCAGCATCCTGATATGCCAGGTGACATCAGATCCTACAATTCATGTACCAAATGCATTTAGTCAATGAAACTACTTGTGAGAGTTATGTCACATACACTTTTTCAAAATTGTACACATACTCATCATCAAGAAAGTGGTTCTTAGTGATGTTTACAAACTAAAGTTGTAAGAAATTGAAAATATATGCCATGCAAATGGTTACCAAGATATATACCAAAATCCTGTGAATTTCTTAGAATAATGCTTGAAGTTATTATGGAAAAGTACACATAAGTAAAAATATATAGATGTATTCCACACCAGGTTGTCTCCCATATTTCATCTATATTTATACTTGCATTGCAGAGATGAAATATGTCTTTTTACATTACTGCATGCAGTTCTGGGGCCTCTAGTAGGACGTGGACCTGCCAGAGCTAATACAGAGGAAGGCCAAGAAGATGATTAGGAGGGGCTGGAGCACTTCTGCTATGAAGACAGATTGAGATACAGGCTTTTCAGCCTGGAGAAGACTCTGTGGAGAGCTTAGAGGCAACCTTCCACTACCTGAAGGGGGCCTAAAAGAGGCCGGGAGAGAGAATTTTTACAGGGGCATGTAGTAATAGGACAAGGGGCAATGGCTTTAAACTGAAAGAGGGTAGGTTTGAGATCAGATATTAAAAAGAAATTCTTTATTGTTAAAGTGGTGAGGCACTGTAATAGGTTGCCCAGAGAAGCTGTGGCTGCCCTATCCCTGGAATTGTTCAGGGCCAGGATAGATGGGTGGTGTCATCAGCTGTGTTCCCACTCTTTTTGAACCACTGAAATGGTAGAAAAAGAAAGTAACCTTTTGTAACAACCAGTTGCTAGTGGAGAGGTGTAACACCTATAAATCCGTTGTGGTAAAATGCCCCTCCATCCTCACCTATCCAGCACTCAGGCATGTGGCAAGAGGCAAGGCAAAATCAGCAAGGCAATAGACAAAAATGCATAGCTCTTCAAAGACAATTTTTGTACGTTGTACAGGCAGTTGTCATCAGGTAGAGAAGCCACAAGGCTAATATAGAAGTGGTTTGGGAAGTAGGCAGCTGTCAGGGGTGACAGCGGGTCTGTCAGCACTTTGGCACATACTGACGAAGCAATAGATGTTGACCAGATCAAAGTATACCCCTGAGATGGACTGAAAGAGAGGACTGAAAATGGAGGCCCTGATCCTGACAACATACTGATGCATCCTGAAGAAGCTGTCCTGTGGGAACAGAGAACACTGTCTCATGAGAACAGGAGCACTGTCTCATGAGAACAAGGACCTGTTTTGAATGAGAGTGGTTGGGAAGAACATCAACATGAGAGAAAAATAAGAGCAGGTGCTCGGGACTGTTGTGGGAAAGAACTGGGCTGTTTTGAGAAAGAGCAAAGTTGTGGTGAGAAAGTAGAGTTTAGAAAATGCACCTATTAGCTGTAAGAATTCTGGTGTGAAAGTTTGAACTGTCCTATCCGTGTGCATTACGTGTGTTCAAAAACTGTACTTAAGGGGCTGTGCAGCAGCCCCGGGTGGCTGTCCCTGCTTTTTCCTTGGAATAAACTTTGCTGGAACCTTTTTCGTGTCGCTTTGGCCGTTCCGACATTATCAGCGACAGGCAGCCAGCAGTGGATCCCGTCTGACCACTGTTTCCCACCTCTTACAGAGAATGTCCTAGTGCTGGTAGACATCACCCTATTTTTCCTAACAAGCATTTCTCTTGCAGTTGCTACATAATACAAACTGAGGTATTGAAAAAACATGATTTTTATATTTATGAAATGTATTTGAAACTGAAAGGTAAATAAGGCAAAATTAGGAAATACTTGAACAGGAACAGAATACTTGGAATTCTTATATTTCCTCAAAGTCAAAGGAATCTGGTGTGTGTGTAGAAACACTTAATGTGGAGCTAGCTAGTGTCAACATAAATATTGTTGTGTAATAACTGTCCTATACATTTCATTGCTTACATTTTGTTGTGTTTGCTTTAGTTTTTTGTTTGCTTATTTTTCTTTTCATGATCTCCAGTTCATACTGAACAGGGATGTGTTCTGGAAGGACTGTACTGAGAGTATGTCTGCACCACATGCTTTAATGATACCTCAATCCAAGGTATTGCCAATGAAACTGTAATGGTGAGGAGCTTAGAATACCTGAATACTATTCCAGGTCCCACAGACAACCAGGCAGTTTGGAATCACTTCTGCACTGTGGGAGTAGTAACAGTGTGTTTTACATGTAGCTAGGTGTGCTGACAAAAGCTACAATCTCACTTCTGCCAGCAATATGAACTTAACTCTGAAAGACATTAAGAGTGGGAATTAAAATCAGAACAAAACAAAAAATAAAAGAACCAAAACACACATCAAGGAAAAACAAACAAACAAACAACAAATCTGAAAAAGAACACATAAACAAACAACATTGAGAAACCAACCATCATGGAAAAACCTTTTCTGTCCTTAGGTGTATAGGCAGGATTATTTTCTGGTGAAAACTTATTCTCATTTCTGACGAAAACTGATGAAAACACTCACAGTACTTTTTAAAATCCCTTCAAAAATGTGCAGCTTAGAAAGTGAAAACAGAGGCATAGAATTTATAAACCTGTTCTATTTTAATGTGTTATTTTATATTGATTAGATGCTCATCAGTTTGGCTTTTGATACTAAATTTTATTCTTCCGTGGAATAGTAATGGTAACAAACTCAGCTTCCATATTGTGATTTTGACTCCATGTTGAGGTGAAAATGCCTGGAGTTCCTTTTTTCTGAATTCAATAAGCTGATTTACCACTAGCATAGTTATTACTAGCAAACATATTACTTGCATATCTACCATGATTATCTATTTGTAGTGGTTTATGAGGGGCATATGTGGCAGTGTGTATGTTTGGAGAGGAATGCGATGGGGTTTCAGAACAGAGCATGAAGAGATAAATTATCAATGCATACATTTAAAAAAATTGAAATCTTTCAACAGTCAACATCATGACTATGAAATAAATTGATTTTGAATACTTTTGTAGCAGATATCAGCCACCTTATCTATCACTGAACAAGCCACATTTGAACTAAACAGCTCAGTATCACATTGAGGGATATGGTTGCTGATTGAACACAGGTGTAATGGTTGATATACTGTCACATGATCTGATGTTAACCTAAGATCTTTGTTGAAATACTTATTACCGATGGCACAAAATGTAATTGCTAATTTTCTGCCCAAATGGTTACATATTTCCTCCAGATCTTAAGAGTTATTCATCCCTTTTCTACTGTCCATTACTCAGAGTTTAAGGTAGATGTGTCACTGGTCCACAGACCAGTAATTGAACCTGTCACTTGCAATCTACTGACTTCATTCCTCAGAAATGTATCCACTGCTTCATTCACCTTCCTGCTTATTTTTCTCTAGATATCAATGTCCAGCTTAAACCTATGTTAACATATAGTCACTGTTTACCTTGCAAATCTCTGATCACAGAGCAAAGCATTCAGAAGCAATCTGGGCTGATTATTACTTTGAATTCATTGTAGAACTCTTGTGTAAAATAAGCTGTCCACTACTAGGGTAATTTTAATAAATGAATCAATTAAGTTCTAGGAGTTAGAGTAAAACTAGGTGGAAGTTATTCAAGTAAATGGCTACACAAAATTCAGACTCACTGAATATTTTTTTTTAAATCCTCATGAAAACTGGATGACATGAGGTATTTTTACCTAAATCGGTAGCTACAATTATACAGTTTTGGTGACCAATGCTTTGAAAGACAGTACAAAGAATAGATGTGTCTGCAGAAACTTATAGCAGGAGAGATGTAAAGTAATCAGCACCA